CTAGCAATCCAAAACAGTCCAGTGGAGCCTGAGTGGTGTGTGTTGCCTTCTGACACACTTCAGGAGATGTCAGGGGATGTGGCATATGCAAATGAGTTACGCTAGTAAATTATGCTAGTGAGCTCCTGCACCTCTTTTTCTATGAAATGACCTCTGGAGCCCACCCTGCAAAGCAGCCGCTTCCTCCCAGGGGGAATTGATTTCTGTCGTCTGGAGATCAATTGTAAAAATGGGGGGGGGGTGTCTCCAGGCCGCGCTGGGAGTTCGCAGCCCTACCCTGGGTTCTGTCCTGAGTTAACCTTGATCTTGACAACATTGCTAGTTCCTTTTCAGTCTCAATGGGCTGCGGTGGCTCAAGTGGTTGAGACGCCGAACAGCTGGCCGGAAGGTCTGGTAGTTTGGCAGTTTGAGACCCGAGTGCCGCATGACGGAGTGAGCTCCCTTCTCCGGCCCCAGCTCCTGCCAACCTAGCAGTTCGAAAGCAAGACATTGCAAGTAGGATGAATAGGTACCGCTTCAGTGGGAAGGGAACAGCGTTCCGCGCGCTTCGGCGTGTAGGCATGTTGGCCACATGACCACGGAAACGCCTTTGGACAGCGCTGGCTCTTCGGCTTGGAAACAAAGATGAGTGCCGCATCCCCAGAGTCAGATTCGACTGGCTTTTGAGCAAGGGAAACCTTTACCTTTCACTCTCATCTTTTCACAGATTGTAACTTTTGATTGACTCCTCCTAGGCAGGGCTTTTTTTGTAGAAAAAGCCCAGCAGGAACTCATTAGCATAATAGGCCACACCCACAACAGAAATTCATTAGCATATTAGGCCACACCCCCAACAGCACAGCTCATTGGCACATTAGGACGCACTCCCATGTTACCAGAAGTGTGCTCATCCAGCCACACCCACCTTTTGCTTCTTATTCTGTTGACCTTGTTTGTTGTCCAAACCCAGGGCTTTTTTGTAGCAGGAACTCCTTTGCATGTTAGGCCACACACCCCTAATGTAGCCAATCCTAATGAGTTCCTGCTGTTGGGTGTGGCCTATTATGCTAATCAGTTCCTGCTGGGTGTGGCCAACTTGGAAGCCAGCCGGAACTCCGTTCCTGTGCGTTCCTGCTCAAAAATAGCCCTGCTCCTAGGCCAAATGAGCCAGTCAGGAAAGGCCATGGGTATTCCGACCAGTTATATATTTACTGTCCCCTGCCTCCCTCCCTCCCAAAGCCGCACGTTGTTTCCTGTGTCCTTTAAGCTCAGCAGTGAATGTGGTTGAAATATCTTTGTGGACTTCAGAAGAACCCCTGCTGGATCTGACCACGAGATGTCTATCTAGACCAGTATCCTGTTTCCAGCAGAGGATAGGCAGGTGCTTCCCAAAAGCTCCTGAAGCAAAGTCCTACACACAATCCTTTTCCTCCCTGCTAGGTCCACCCGAGAGGTCTGACTCTTCTTCACGCTGTCTTGACGCTGCTCCTCCTCCTTAACCTGTCCTGCCAGCCGGCTGCAGCCCAGAAAGGCAGAAAAAAGGTGGTGCACGTCTCAGGTGTGTGATGGTACTCTTGCTTTTGAGGCGGGTGTTATTATGCATGCATCGTTTGGGGCAATAGTTCCATGGTCTTGATTTATGTCGCGTATGAACATAGGAATCTGACTTAAATGGGAGGGGGGGGGTGTTCACTGGGTAGGAGCCAGTTTGGTGTAGTAGTTAGGAGTGCGGACTCTAATCTGGGAGAACCAGGTTTGATTCTCCACTCCTCCACATGCAGCTGCTGTTTTGACCTTGGGTCAGTCACAAGTTCTCTCAGAGCTGTTCTCTCAAGGGCAGCTCTCTCAGCCCCACCTATCTCACAGGGTGTCTGTTGTGGGGATAGGAAGGGAAAGGAGATTGTAAAATGCTCTGAGACTCCTTTGGGTAGTGAAGGGCGGGGTATAAATCCAGTCCCCTCGTCCTCCTCTTCCTCTTCTTCTTCTTTTTCCTTTTTATCCTCACAATGGAGAGATGTCAGCAATGGGGTCCCACAAGGATCGGTATTGGGGGCAGGTACTACTTAATTCCCAGTAGTCATGTATGGCTGCGAGAGTTGGACTATAAGGAAGGCCGAGCGCCGAAGAATAGATTCTTTTGAACTATGGTGCTGAAGAAGACTCTTGAGAGTCCCTTGGACTGCCAGGAGATCAAATCAGTCAATCCTAAAAGAAATCAACCCTGACTGTTCCCTGGAAGGCCAGATAATGAAACTGAAGCTCAAAGACTTTGGCCACCCAATGAGAAGGGAGCACTCCCTGGAGAAGACCCTGATGCTGGGAAAGACTGAAGGTCAAAGAAGACGGGGACGGCAAAGGATGAGATGGTTGGACAGTGTCATAGATGCAACGAACATGAAATTGAGCAAACTTCAGAGGACGGCGGAAGACAGGAAGGCCTGGCGTGATCTGGTCCATGGGGTCGCGGAGAGTCAGACTCAACTGTGCGACTGAAAAACAACAACTATTTAATTCATCCATAAACGATCTGGGACCAGGGGTGAGTATTGTAGTGGCTAAGTTTGCAGATGACACAAAATTATTCAGGATGGTGAAAGCCAAGGCTGACTGTGAAGAACTCTAAGAGGTCCTCCACAAACACGTGGAATTCACTGCCACAGGAAGTGGTGGCGGCTACAAGCAT